AAAAAAAAAAAAAAAAAAAAGAAATTATAAAGTCGCAAGTTCCGTAATAGCTTTTAGGGACAATTTCTGTATATTATTCACTTCCTGTTTGGTGGTGAAAGCTTAGAAAATCGGTAGGGAAGTTGATCGACCCTCCCATAACGTTTATTTCGTAATGAAAAAATAGCGAATTAGAAATAGATATTTCTGTATGTCGACTAATTGAGAATTTTCAATTCATGTATTCCCTCGTATATGATGATCCTAGCCAAAAAAAAGTTAAAGAAGGGACGAATGAAAAATACGAGAGAGGGTACTGTCCGTGTATTAATGGAGAAAAACATGTATATCTACGTATATACGTGTATATGTACATAAATTATTACGAATTATCGATGTAAGATTGAATTATACATACATACATATATAAATAATATAACTTATAAATATACATAGTAGATATATTGCGACGAAAAAAAAATATAAGAAAGAAATCAACAAAGAAAAAGAAATAAAGGAAGAGAAAAAGAGAGGGAGAGAAAGAGAGAGAGAGTGAGAGAGAGAAATTGTTAATATTAAATATTATTATTCTTTACTTTTAGCAATCCATAAATAAAAATTAGTATTATTATCCTAAATAAAAGTTAATAATTGTATCAAGAAAGATAATTTTCATGTTAATTATATTTATGTGAACGATCCTTCTTTACGAATCCTGTTTTCACAAATTTTAGTACATAACTTACAATTAGCAATAACTTATAATCGCAATATATATATATATATAAATATATCACTCTTTATTAACATGAGACTATGGATTATTAATATTTTTCTTAAAATCTTATGATTCTTAATATCTTTCTTTGTGCAATTCTTAAATTGGCAAATATTACTTTCTATGAAACGATATATGGGATTTTAATAGAGCGAGAGCGAATATTAACTTTGGAATGAAAATAACGAAAAAGATTTGCATAAAGTTCTATATAAATGCTCCCTTTTTCAAAAAAGACAATTCATACTTCATTATAAATTGTACCAATGAAAGAAACGATGATATATTTTAAACATGATAAATCGAATGAACAACTGTTTTAGATTACTTGTATACTTCTCTAGAAACAATAAACTATGATCGAAAGAGGAAGCATTTGTGAATAAAGATTTTTTATTATTTTTATGTATGAAATTGCATCAAGAAAATGTTTAAACAAAATAATATCCGAATATTTAATTATTGATGAATATAGCGATTTTTGTTAATTACGAAATAAAAAAAAAAGGTTAAAAAAGATATTTCGATAATTATACGGCGATAATAATTTCTTTTTTTAGAATAACTCACAATCTCTTAATATCCTCTTCTTAATGGCCTAATCAATTAGAATTTCGTTCATTTGTTTATTTATTTCTTTATCGTTTAAAAAAAAAATATTGATTTTCATAATTAAATTAAAAAGATTATAGAAAAAATACAATCATTCATAATAGCAATTCTTTTCTTAAACTATGCGATTACTCTTACTGTATGCATATGCGTACATTGTATGTACCATAAACTTATTAGATATTCCACAGAATAAATTTAAATTTTTGCATTCTCACGAAAAAAAAGTGGAAAAAATATCTTTTAACAAAAAAAATTATACAAATTAAAATGCAAAAAAGTGAGGGTTATATACGAAGTTTATCGAAAAGAAACTGATAGGATTAAGATATCCATTTTTTGCTACATTGTTGAAATACGAAAAAGACTTCAGAGTATAATAATCGTAAAACATTTTGCTCTGATTTATTATAAAATCAATCTCTTGAAACATACTTTCCTTGTTCTTTGCAATTAAATTATCATTCCATATTCCCTTGTTACCCTTCCTTTTCAAAATGCTTATTATTATGTCTACAAATCGAAGAAATATTTTAATAATTTAAGATATTTGTAAGTATGATGAAAATATGTAAGAAAGCTTTACCATATAGATAGTTAATGTATTATTACAAAATATAAAGATACAATTAATAATCGCGATAATTGATTGAGTTGAACATCATTCGATTTATGATCGAGGAATCTTATATTCATCTAGCTATAGATATTACTGTAAATTAGTCTTAAATAAACATAATTATGAAAAAGAAAAAATTATTTCTTCAAAAATGTTTGAATATATTTTTATGTTTTATATTTCATGTTTATATTTTATTTGTTTTACATATATATTTTTATTATTTGAAAAATATTGAATGATAATTTTTTATTTGTATAATATTTTTATGAACCTCAGGGTTCCACTTAAAATCATTACAGTCTTGATATAAATGACATAAGCGCCGCCTAACGGTTTACTCTTTCATTTGTCGACCATTTGTAAACATGGCTCCGGTGAGTTTTATATTCATAAAAAATAATTCAGAAATATTTAAAAATCTTTTAAAAATTCATTAAAAACATAAAACAATATACTTTAATCATTTATTATGATATAATTGTATTTACATTTTTGAAAAGATTATAAAGATATCGTTGGATGTAAACTTCTAACCTAAAAGCGTCTGTTAATGTCTAACACATGTTAAAGAAAACATAATTTTTTAATTAAAAGAAAATCAAAATGAATATTTTTCAGCCCACTACAAAGAAGTCCAAGGGACCAGCCATTAAAAAACAGGCCCTTCGGGGTAAAGGCCAAAAGAAAAAGGTATCCCTTAAATTCACTATAGATTGTACACATCCTGCAGAAGACAATATTATGGATGTAGCTAATTTCGTAAGTTAATTTTTATTTTATAATCACATTGTTTTTTAGTTAAATTTCGATACTTTTTAAATTTAAATTTAAATTTTGAAATTTTATCTTATTATTTAATATATCATAATTTAACGTGCAAATAAAATAGCTAACTTCTTACAGGAAAAATATTTACATGAAAGAATTAAAGTTGCTGGGAAAACAAATAATTTTGGTAACAGTGTTACATTGGAAAGGGATAAGATGAAACTATCTGTTAACAGTGATATCGATTTTTCTAAACGGTGAGAGTTATCCAATAATAAAAATAATATTTAATGATTAATATATTTATTTAATATTCATTGAATTTGACATTACTTTTTTAAAAAAAACTGATATTTGCACTAATTTAATAATATACTTATGTAGGTATCTCAAATATCTTACAAAAAAATATTTGAAAAAAAATAAATTACGTGATTGGTTACGTGTTGTATCAAAAGACAAAGAAACCTATGAGTTAAGGTACTTCCAGATTAACAGTCAAGAAGATGATGATGAAGAAGATGCAGAATAAAGTTTTAATTGTATGATGCAATTACAGAATTATCTGTACATATTTCTACTAATAAATAATAGGAAAAAATTGAATGCATTTTATAAATAAAAAATTTTGATTGTTCCTTTATTTCTTTAAAATTAATTTGATTAGATATTTCATAAATATGTTAAAAATTAAATTTATTATTATTATTAAAAAACA